GCGAGATGTAGGCGCAAAATAGTACTGTCCGCCAGATTGGCATTTATTTCGTTTATTTTAAGATAAATTTAGTATTTTGGATTATGGAGGTTGCTGATGTCTATCCTGGGGCAGGTGATTTCTCACTAGTTGACAGGTGGGCAAGGCCGAATTATTATTAACTTTGAGTGAAATTGTAAAACTGTAGCCTTTGTCTTGGCTACTCTTGAGAAAGCGTCCAAGATGGCGTCTTTTCTAATTTTTCATTATATTTTCTTGAATTGAGGCAAATGCGATCAACTCCTCTTATATTTTTTTCGATTTTTGATAATTACTTTTGGTAAATTTGAGTACAATATTGAAGTTCATTAGTTTTGATTAATTTTTGAGTGAAATTAAAATGTGATAAATTGAATTCATTGTATTTCGAGGTCACGTATTGACCCTCAATTGAATATCGATCCATATTATGGATCGTTATTTTGTCATAATTTTGAGAATAATGAGGAATTATAACCCTCATTCAACTTTCCCCCGAACGTCACAAATTCATCATCAATCTGACATTTGAACTATTGATATTACATTATTTTTTAATTTTGATGTGTATATTTAGACATTTATCAATGTAAGTCGCAAATCCTTTTAATATTGAAGAAATATGATATTGATGGCCATCCCTGGGTAATTCTATTGGATTTGAATTGAAATTTCTATCCGTTTTCGGCGGTTTCTATTGCAATGTCAACAGAAAAAGTCAATAGAATGAGTTGTATAGAAAAATTTATTTCTGTTACTTTTTTCTGTAGAATCTTTCTATTGAACATTTTAATAGAATCGACCAAAAGCTAATAGAAAGTTCAATAGAAATCTAATAGAATTGTCTAGCGAATTCGCTAGGTTTTCCTGTCACATTTTTTCGTGCGTGATCTGTCTGAGGATGTGGATGAGATAGAGACCCCACTGCACTTGTTAGACTGGCGACATTTTACGCTAATTTTTACTTCCGCATGGAAGCTTTGTAATTGCTCAAATTTAAGTTTTCATTTTTTTGTGTTAGAGTAACTAAATATGGTGTAAAAAGTTTGAATATGCCATTCTTAGATGGCGTCTGTATGCATGTGGTCTTTTTACTTTTTTTCGAAATTCATTAAATTTTTTATGAATTTTTTTGGCAGTTTGAAGAGACATCGGCAGAATTTCAAATTATTTTATCAATTGATAAAATTCCAAATTATTTTATCAATCAATAATTTAGTTCGGAGGTTTGACAATTATGTGGCCAATTGAAAAATCCCTTTCAAGAAATGTAGAAATATTTGCCCAATAGTCATATTGAGGTATTCCACGCCAAATAAGTCAACCGCTGACCCTCACTTATTTTTTCTGTGATTGGGGAGGATGAAAAACTATATCTTAAATTTTTCCAGATTTTTTCGACAGCCCAGTTCGGAGATATGATTTTTGTTTCGTTTTTCCGGTTTTTTTCAATGACTCGAGTTCTATCCATCCGATTTCGATTTATTAAGCATCAAAATTTTTCATTTTTACTGCCTATAAGAATATTTTTATTCCACGTCTGCCTATAACAATATTTTTATTCCGTATCGTTATTCCACGTCAGCGATTGACTCATTTGACGTGACATACACTGAGAGAAAAAATTATTCCTGCCAAGGATTGATATTCTCGTCAGAAGATAATATTTTTTCAGAACGAATTTTTCCAGGACAGTCATTTTCAGAGAGTCCAAGTCTATCCTCAAAAATTACAGTGATATTGAACAATCTGATTATTATGCTACATATGACCTTGACAAAATGTTCTCCGATATCTTCCGGATTTTACAAATTGGCGATTTTCTCAGGTACAGAAAATTGGAATAATTCCAAATGTTAATAATTATTATTGCAGTTTCTTCGAGGTCATATGCAGAAGAATATTCTTATAGATCACCATAATTCGCACGCTTGGAACTTATTTCGGAGCACCTGGAAATGACTGGCCTGGAGAAATACGTTCCAAAAGAGATATTTTCTTCTACTAAGAGTATGAAAAAGATCTCACCAATAACATTTTCTTGGAAGGAATAAATTTTTTTCTCGGTGTACCTCATTTACAATTCCGTATTTTTAATTATTCAATTCACAGTCAATTGAAAAATTTTAATTACCAATTATTTTATAATTTTCGAATTTCAACCCAAATATTACTAAAGCTAATGATCGATACCGATCTTTACTATAAACCACGGAACGCCACCAAAGGGGGAAGAGCGTTATATTGATAAGAGGTTATTGAATTCTCCATGACTCGCCGAATAAAAAGAGTATTTTCTATTGCCTGAGAGGGACCCATCATATATTCCAATACATGGCCGTGAGCGTTCTTCAAGACGGTGCATGAGTGCAACACAATTCACATATCCTTTATCATATATAATGGAAAATTTATCCACTAGGGAAACTTTTAGTTACCTCTGTTGCACCTGGACGGCTTTCCGCCAGACATATTCAACGTCAGGTGGTTGTATACTGCGACGACAAATGGACGTTTGGGGTGGCCTGGAAATTCATGTTAAGGATATCCAAGTAGTTCAGGCAATTTTTTCTGGGGGAAATCCCCTTCAGAGTTTATAGACTAGACCAAGAGTATTTTTTAGGCGCAGTATAAACTTTAGTTTCCGAACATATTTTCGAGAAAACGATTTTTGAAAGAATAAAATTTAACACATTGCGTCCATAAGAGCTGTATAGTGCCACTTTCAATCCAATAGTTCATAGTCTTAAAGCGTTTTCTCGTACACATAACCGCATATGACTTTGTTCGTTATACTCTCTAGTTTTTTTCGCGACATTAAAAAAAATAAGTTTACGGACAGATAATTGCAAACAATCAAATTAAAAGCTTCTTGAATGGTACGACGCCCATATTGGGTGGTTTGAATCCGTGCGTTCCTGACGTCTGGCAACAGTCCGCTCAAGTGACTACTCGGACCGAATTTACGAGGTTATATGGAACACATGTGCAGTGTGAATATCATTCCTAGTTCACGGGTATTTTGTACCTTCAATAAATCGAAAATGTGGATATACACGAGAAACAGTCGTCAGGCAAACCATAAAATCGATTAATTTCAGTAGGTGCAAAATGTTGAAATTTTGAGGTCAAACGCGGAGATTTTCAGCGAGTCAAGGTTTCAAGATATGTTAGTTTATTGGCGTAAAAATTTGTGAGTGTGTTTGATATATTAAAAAATAGAAATACAACTGTCTATAAATTTACTACTTACGAAATTTTATAGTGAATAGAAAAAATCTACAAACTGCGGGGATTCCCTCATTCTGCGACCACTGAGGCCATCCGTCGCGGGCCCTCCGATTCAGAATTGATTGACGGTCGATTCAGGAACCGACCGGTTCAGTTTGTCGGTAACCATTGGATTGTCACTCAACCGGTTGGTTATCGACATACTGCACTGGTCGGTTCTACGAATTCACAGGTCCGCCAGGGATGTCACTTCGACCGTAGATACCATCAGGGCAGAAAACTTCAATTAATTTTTTTAGAGTGAAACGATTATCTCGGGAATTCCGAATAATTACATCATGGACACACTGATAAAAATTTTCGTCTGAATTTTCCGTGGCAAATCCCGGAACTTTTTATCAGATTCAATTTCCGCTAAAATTTCAGGAAATCTGGTCGTTGAAAAATCAACTATTCGATTGATTTTCTGTTCGAATGATCTGAAAATCCATAGAATACTTAATTTTTCAGTTGAATTATTTCATGAAAAATCGGAAAAATCAGGACAATTTAGGGAAATTGAAAATTCATGTTATTTTGTTTATGAATACTGAATACATATATGGTCAGTGGTTTCTGGTAATTATTACTGATTATCATGCCGTTTTTCAGCGCAACTGTGCTAATTTGTTCGATTTTAATGAGGAAAAGAGCTCAGAATATTCCACGGCGTTTTAACTTTCCGAATGAATTATAAAATGCAGGAAATAAAAAACTTCAAAGGAATGTAACGCCTTGAAATATTGCTATCAGCTTGGTTTCCTCCACTTTTTTAACTTTTAACGTTATTTATTGCAAGAAACATGCATTCTTACAAATGGCCATTGCCCGAGGGCCTTCAGCCTAGAATACACTTCTTTTGTACAGTATCAAACTATCTCTATCAGGAGTTGTGTACATGTGGTTCAATGTTGATCATTGACGTGAGAAAAAGAGAGAAAGAAAAAAAAGAGAAATGAAAATGGTGATGAGACTCAACTTTTGAAAATTCATCGTATAAGAATTGTTATGGGGTGCTGATGGTACTTTTTTTTTCCAAGGTGAGAGATGAATAGGATAAAAGGGAAGAGCGTACGAATTGTAAATTATTGAAGATGAGCAACTCTTCGCCAGGACTTATTGCTAAACTGCTCAGTTCGTATAGCCTTTAGATTTTCGAATAGAGTGAGAGGGGGTATTTGTATCGAGATTGGGCGTCAGGAGTGCACTTGTGACAAAGGTCAAGAATATAGTCCAGCTTGTAAAGTGCGAAAGTAGTTGTTAGTTTGTTGAGTCTGTCTAGAAAGGGCTCGATTTGGGTCCGTTCATATATTCTTACAAAAGACCAGATAACCGAAAGGTTCTACTGACGGAGGTTCATTTTGACAAAAGTTCAATTAACCAAAAGTTGACTTTCCCAATTTGAATTTAACCAGGTTTTTTAACAAAGTTTTTCAGACGTGCTTCCGAAATAGCGTAGAATGCCTCAAAAGGATGAATTTCTGCTTTAGATGGAAATAAAAAAAAATCGGGCTCGTCCGGGATTTGAACCCGGGACCTCTCGCACCCTAAGCGAGAATCATACCCCTAGACCAACGAGCCGAAACGTCGGTGAAAAATTATACCACACACTACTTAATTCCAGGCTCATCATGCGTCGAAAGATGTGGTGATGAACGGCGGAATTAAATAACATGAATCAAAGGATTATCTTGTTTACAGACACTGCGAAACAAAATGGCGGTGATGGGACTACAAGACTTCAATAGGAGTGCTCTGACAATAGAAAACAAAAAGGTGATGTATTCATGTTTAATAATAAAAATTCATCACAAGCATTTCTGGGAAAATTTTGTTCAAATCGGACCATCAAAAATCGTTCGATGCGAATGGCAACTTGTCACAAAAATTGTCAATAGAATTTTGTCAAGGTTATGATGAGAACTTTATATACATGAGAAATAACAATCGTTTTGGCAACGTTGCTTTTAGAGAGTAAATTTTTCATCTAATGAATATTTGCATCTATTAAGATTTTTTTCTCGCCAAAATCAGAGATGCTCAATGGATACTTCTGTTTTCCAGGCATGGTATACCGGTCAGAGAGCCTCAAAGATACCCCAGGGTTTGGTAAAAATTGTCGGTGAAGATTGCCTCAGTTTGGATTTATCCTACAACGAATTGACATCACTCTCCGCATTGAAAGAGTACATTCACCTTCAGGAATTGATTTTGGATAACAATGATCTTCGTGACCTGAAAACACTGCCACACATGCCAACGCTAACTACCCTAAGTCTGAATAATAATAAGGTACAAATAGTAGATTTCAAAACTCATCACGAATGAAAAAAATTAATAGAAAAACCTAGCGAATTCACTCGACAATTCTATTGAAATGTTCAATAGAAAATATTCTGTAGAAAAAGTAAAAAGAAATCGATTTTTCTATACAACATATTTTATTGAGATATTTTCTGTAGAATTTCCTCAGCTCAAATTTTCCGATTTTTTTTCATCCTATTTTACTTTTCTTTTCAGCGAGAAAATCAACTAAAAAAACGTGGAAAATTTCAACCGAGAAAATTCGATAGAAAATAAGACAACTTATTCTCAATAGAATAAGTTGTATAGAAAAATCTAATTTTTTCGACTTTTTATAAAATATTTTCTATTTAACATTTCAATAGATCGGCCAAAAACTAATAGAAAGTTGAATAGAAATCCAATAGAATTATTTCGCCAATTCGATAGGTTTTTTCATTAAGGATATCCAAGTATTTTTTACAGTTCTGACGGACTACACTATAGATTCAACCATTTTCAATCATCAAATTTGTCAATTAAATTACGTGAGAAAAATTTGAAAAAATCATTTATCATATTTTTTTAAACATTTTTCAATTATTTTTCTTAAACATTCATTATTCATGAATAAATAATTGAACTTATTTAAAATTTCGGAAATCTTATTTTTTAGCCATGAAATCGATTTCTGGTTAAATTCTAAATATGAATGAATTTGTTACGATTCCGAACAAATGAGTTTTATGGTGGAAAATTGCTTGTTTATACATTATTGATAGAAAATGCTCATAATGTTCAAAAATTGCAATTGTAAATTATTCAATCTATCTTCCTCCAAAAGTAAAGCTAATTTTTTTTTCAAATTGTTAAAATGTTTTTTAACGGTTTGATATCGAGATTCAAATTCAGACCTGTAAATTTTAAATAATGAAATCATTGTAAAATGTTTGGAAACTTGGGGTCAAATGGGGCTCCAATACTCTGATGTTCGACTACAAAAGTAGAAAAGTATTTCACTGGAGAAAAAATAGCCGAAATACTTGGATAATTTTAAATTTTCTCATACGTAATATTGCCTCCAGAAATTAAAAACTAGTATATTTCGATACGAGTGCAGAAAAGTGTTTTTTTGGCTCGTGGGAGGTTTATAGCGCGAGCTGAAGGCGAGTGATATAATCCCACGAGCCAAAAAAAAATTTTCCCATGAGTATCGAACGATGTTTTTCACCACAATGTGTGGAAAAGGGACGTTTTAGGCACGTGAAGCGCGATGAAAACATATTTTCATTGACTGCAGATAGATGACATTGATATGGCAGTAGACAGAATAAAAGAATGCTGTCCCAACGTGATATTTTTGAGCCTGCTGGGGAATCGAGGCTACCCGGATCAACTCACGGATCCAATAAGCAATGATGAAGCTGACTATAATCGCTACAGACTCTATGTCATTCACATATTACCTGGTTCACTGCGTTTTCTCGATTCTCGACCTGTAACGAATATAGAAAAACGTGATGCACAAACTCGTGGTAAATTTCTCCGAACAGTGAGATTTTCCACCCAAACTGCATCGAATATTGATGAAGAGTTGGGATTTGATGAGATCGATGCCATCATGGATTTGAATTGTTCTCCATTACCAAAGACTAATCGTAGTCCTCTTGACCATAAAGGTAAGAATATTGAAAAATTGAAAAGTGATGACAGTGATGACATTAATCAAATTAACTGCAGACAGCAATCCATTACAATGCTGCATGGAGAAATTTTGATAGAAAATTTAACGTATTCGTTAGAGAATTCTAGTGGTTGTCTATTGGGATTTCCTTCGAATTTAACTCAAAATTATGCATTTTGCAGTAGAATCTTCAATTCCTACACAATTTATTCTGTTCTGATTTTTTCTACTGCTTCTAATTCATCATTTATATAAATCGACATGACCTTGGGGATCTGATAAGACACGAGCTAATTAATATTCATGGATTGCACATCACGTGTGTCAATTAAATGAATGAATTATCAGGGGAGTAGTGGAAACATGGAACCGTGGCTTTAATTACATGAGTCAGGAAATAGTTTTATTACCATGTGACATACAATATTTTATGTCTCTGGAACCGGGAACCCCAATTTAACCGAGGGAATCGATGTTAGAATCGCGGTTTTACGACCCCAGGGACATAAAGTAATATTTTATGTCCCAAGGACCGAAAACCGCGTTCTAACCGAACAAAGTAAAGTTAAAATTCGCGGTTTATCTGTGCTCGGGACATAATATACTATTTTTTATATTTGTGTCCAATACTGCGTCTTCGTCAAAAAACTGTGTAATTTACCAACGTAATTTATACGCCTATCGCTGTTAATAATATAGGAAATTCAAATTCTATTGACATTTTCCTGTCAAATATCTGTCAAAAATTCACATCTGAAGGCTTTATTCTCCTATTAAATTCTATAGAAATCACCCAAAAATTTCCTACTGAAAGGTTTTTCTGCTAATTTTTTTCATACATGACAACATTTAAAGTCTATAATGGTTTCCATATCCTGAAATATATAAGAAATAAGATTTATCAATTTAATGTCTATTTCTATTTCCAGCTGCATTTGGTAAATGCCGTTATCGTTACTCGGGAAAGAATTCCGAGGGAAACAGATACATCCTGAACAATGATCTCTAACAACTCTACTCGACTATTTCGACTGATCTGACAATACTCATCTGAAATATCCTTTTTCACATAAGTTTTTGATGAAAAAATCGGACAGGTATAAAAGTTGATTTTATTCGTACTCCAGTTACACTGGTAAATGCACTAGATATTAACAAATCCATTCCAATGATTATTCCGTACAATCGAACTGATTTAATTTCCTACGGAAGAATATATACGAGAAGAATTGGTTGGTAACAATTGATACAATGCTCATACGTACAAAGTCCATTTATCAAATTTGTATGTAAATATCCTGAGATAATTGGTCCAATTTTAGCACAATAATTTCCTACAAATATTAAATGTATAATTTCTTATCATTAATGGAATTGGCATTAATTCGTAGGTAATATTTTTCAGATTAACCCTGTCTTGCCTTGAGTACTTTCAAAAATTTTCACTTCAATAACTGCACACAGTTCGCAGAGAGGAAAACCTCTCGATTTATAAAATTACACTACAAATCATGCCTTTCAATCACAAATTATGGAATTTTAATTACCCACTTTTCTACCATAATCGTAGTATCTTGGTAATACAGTAATAGTTTTCAATGTGTATAATTTTTATATGTAACGCATATTAAGTATAAATATATTATCTATTTATAAGTACACAAATTCATCAAATTAGAGATATTAAAATTACCCCCAATACACGATTTCAATTATCCCTAACATGGAATGTTGAATATAATGCTGATAAAGTGAACTAAATCATTCATTTATCCTTTGATATCATACAAAAAATGGAAGCATGCTTTCCTTGCAAAGGGAGGAAATCGTCCACATTAATATCTCTCAACCTTGGAGCGAACTCCCGGTTGGAGGGACGGATTTATAAAGTACTTTTGGCCAAATTTATTCATCTTGGGAGATGAGAAATGAAAGATTCAAGAGACAGTGCTCTTTCCATGATTGTGTAAATTGGGTCTCAGGGTGACTGCACCCTCAACCCAGAAGTTTGGTCGTTCCAGCATACTCTGCCAGAGTGAGAGCTCCCGTCCAGTCGCATCCATCCAGTCCACTGGTTTCCCATAATGTTTACCTACGGAGATTGAGAAATACTTGGGTGAGTGAGGATTGTACGTAACGCGCGATTCAAGGAAATTACGATTCAGGGAAATTATTCAATCTGCTGGCGAATGAAACTATTGTACTCCGTTGAATATTCTGCTTGGAAATTTTGTGTTGAAATGATTCAGCATTAAGGATAGCCAAGTATCTTTTACAGTTTGGTACAGACCACACTGTAGATTCAACCATTGTCATTCATCAAATTTGTCAATTAAATTGCATGCGAAAAATTTGAAAAAATCATGAATATTCCGTGTCATTCACATTACATTTTGCAGATTGATTTTTTAAAATATTCGTTTTTATAAATAAATAATTGAAATTGTTTAATCTTTCGGAAACTCTATTTTTGTAGGCATAAAAATTCTAAATATGAATAAATTTGTTAGCATTCCAAACAAATGATTTGTATGGTGAAAAATTGAAAATTAATACACTCTTTATAGAAAATGCACGTAATTTTCAAAAATTGCAACTTTTAAGTAATTTCATCAATCTTCTTCCAAAAGTAGACTTTCTATTTTTGTTCAGAGTGTTAAAATGTTTTCTAACGGTTCAATATCAAGATTTAAATTAAGACCTCCGAAGTTTACATAATGAATTAACCGTTAAATGTCTGAATTTGGGTCAAATTGAGCTCCAATGAAAGCTCTGATATTCAATTATAAAAGTAGAAACGCATTTCAATGAAGAAAAAATAGCCAAAGTACTATTCAACTATTTTCAGTCATCAAATTTGTCAATTAAATTGTGTGAGAAAAATTTGAAAAAAATAATGAATATTTAGCGTCATTTAAATTATATTTTGCCTAGGGTTATAATTTTTTAAAATATTCGTTGTTTATATATAAATCATTGAAATTGTTTAAACTTTAAAATCGATTGCTGGTAAAATTCTGAATATGAATAACTTTGTTACGATTTCGAACAAATGATTTTTATGGTGGAAAATTGATTATTTATAAATTATTTACAGAAAATGCTCGTAATTTTCAAAAATTCCAATTTTTGCTTCCGAATGGAAATTTTGTAATCGTCCAAATTTAAGTTTTGGATTTTTTGTTTTATATCGACCCCATATGATCCAAAAGTCCGAAAATGGTATCTAGTAACTGTTAGGTCGGCATTTGCCACAGCAGCCAATGCCAATGCATGACAAATTATCCAATTACAATTTCTTCTCTATCGGATTTATTTCTAATCTAATTTTTTCCTAATCTCTATTAAAAATGTGTACTCCTGCATAATGTGAAATCCAATGGCAATTATGATATATTATAAATTATAAAGATTCTAAAACAATCGAGATCACGTTCGAAAGATAACACACGCGAGCCTTAACGCCCGGATGGATTATCTTTCGAACGTGATCTTGCTTCTTTCATTTTGATAATCTGAAATATTTCCCAATTGCCATTCAGTTTATAGCACTGGAGTCTCCAAAAAGTATGATCGTACAATCCAAAAACCGTTGAAAAATAACTGAACATTTTCCAAGAGCGTTTTTATATAATATTGGGAAATAAACCCAATAGGGAGGAAATTGCAAATTAATAATTTATTGTCTTTAGTTGCCATGATAAATTATCCATTTACAATTTCCTCCCTATCGGACTTATTTCCTAATCTTTATCAAAAACGTTCTTTGTAAAGTTCACTGTTTTTTCTACTTTCTTTATTGCACAATCATAATTTTTAGCGTGATGGAAAACCAATGGAATTGTGATATATTATAAATTACGAGAATGTAAAAACAATCGAGATAACGTTCGAAAGATACTCCATCCAAGCCTTAAATTTATTTTCCTCCTTACTCAACTGAAGTACATTCATACTACTTCAATCAATGAAATATTTTTCAAGGTACCTATTCGAAATATCAAAGCATTACTCACCAGTTCCCAGATTGAATCTAACACCTCCCAGGAACTCATTACTCGCAATACGATCATGATCCCAAACAGTCAGTTCGAGTCCACGTTCAGCTAACTCCTGAATACTAACATCTTTGTAAACAAAAGTGTGACCCCAAACTGGCGAGCCATTGGATCGCCTAACGACCCCAGTCTTTTGCTTGCCCGACCTGCCTTTGTCTGGTAACAAATAGCTCTTGCAGAAGGGGTCACATGTGCCTGAATTTTTAGCTCGGGTTTGAAGATTACGAGCCTCTTTAACGAGCACATGAAGTCCCCCTCGGCTCCAGTTTTTCTTTCCCTTCACAAGGCTCTTCTCGCCAGCAATATTCTCCCTCTCCTGTAATTGCGCTGGATCTGGTGGCACAAATTTGAGGCCCACAATAACCTCGCCCTTGTAGGCTATAGGATCGTCAAATGGCTCAGTTCTCTCCTGAAGTGGATACCACCTCGGTGTTGGATCGTCAAATATTTTATTCTCAAGAGGCATTCTCACTTCACCGAGGAAATCATTCCTGCCAAACATGTCTGAGTGCCAGACTGTCAGCCATAGTGTTCTAGTCTCCAATCCATTCAACCCAATATGGAATTTTAGTGTCTCATCGAAGACCGGATTCAACGTGTGTTTCTTCACTTTCGTTTTTCGCTTTCCACCCTTTGACTTATCAGGGAGAAGGTAAACTTTCACGTAAGGGTCTGAACGATTTCTCTTTATGTCAACTGGCGCTAGATCTCTGCACTGGCTGACGTGGACTTCGAATGTTAGCTGTTTGTAATCGTATTGGAGGGAGAATTCAACTTCACCACGAACTGCCACTGATCCACACCATCTGCCTTCACCAGCGCCGCTGTACACTGATGCCATTGAGTCAGATCTCGCCTGGAAGGGATTGAAAATGTTGATATTTAGTAGAAAAATCTAAAGGGAGGGAATTTTTTTTCAGCATTTTCACTTTGCATTCGCAGAGAAAAAAAATTAGTTTCCAATAAAAATGAATGAATTTCAAAGCTCTGTTGTGTTAACATATAGCGAGCGAAAAATCCGGGAAATCAGGGGATTTTTTTACTTATTTCAACCAATTTTTCCCTAGCATGAGGGAATAAAGCTCTTGTTCTGAGCAATTTTTACTCAATCTAGTATGATTGTACCTATAAATTAGGACATATTTTCTATTACTTTAAGAAAAGCTTGGCTTTTGAATTGAAATTCTTGGGATTGGTGAATCAACAACATCAGGATTTTCATATTTAAAACATTCTTGTTCTTAAATTGATGATTTGTCCTGTTTCAACATGAATTTACTCATTTTTATAAATCCATTATTACTCAAAGAGAACAACAATGTCACCTCACACCTGGAATTACTATTGAATTAATATTCAATTATTCTAGAAACTTATCCCTTTTGAACGTTCTCGTTTTAAGAACTTTTGTGGCTTGGAATGAGTTGATTTTTGGTTTTGAATATTACGGATTTTTGCTCTAAATTTTTTTTAAATTCTGAGCAAAATGTCCATGAGTTTCTTCAAATCAGTGAATTAGTTTTCAAAACTAGAAACTGTTTTCTATGTGTTCTGATTTTTAATTTAGCTGCACAGAGAAAAATTGATCATGTTCTAGAATCAATTTACTCATGTTTATAGATTCATTGTTATTGAAAGTATATGACTTGATATCGCCTGAGACTTGACTCAATTACTATTGAATTCATGTTCAATTGGTCCAGAATTTGATTCTTTTCGACTGTTCTCATTTCAATAAAGCAAAGATTTTTAATTTGAGAAACCAACAGTTCTCGATTTAAAAACTTTTCTGCCTTGGAATGAGTAGATTTTTTATACTGAATTTTTCGGTTTTTGGGTCTAAATTTAAGTAACCAGTTTTTAATTCTGAGCAAAATGATTTCTAGAAACATGAGTTTTTGATTATTCTCGTCAATACTTTCACTAACAAAAAAGTTAATAAAAAACAAATAGTTGATAAAAAAAAATTTTCGCTTGAATTGCGCCAAACAGTAGTGTTTTGACTGTTTCATTTTGCCCCACTCTCCCCTAAATGAATAAATATGAATACAATTTAAAACGTTTCGTTTTTCAAACCTGTGATTTTCTTGAAATAAAAAAATCATTTAATGAAATAAGAATAAGGAATAAAACACATTCATTACTGGAGATAATGCTTACCCCAAGGCTAGATAATGATGCTCGTGTATTCAAATGATGTGCCGAGTGTAGGCCTCCACGTTCCGTGTCATCAATATCCATGACTGTGCGACTGGAGCCTGACCTCGGGCTTGCACCTATTATTGGCGTGCTACACGCTTCAGACAAACTACTTCCATCGTCTGCATCATAACACAAGAAGAAATCTCCATTAATTCAATTATTTATTACATTTTCTCCGTACTTTTTTTGAATGAAGAAAAACTTATCGTGGAATTCAACGGTATCAGACGATGAGCTTCTACGCGCATGACAGCCGTTGACAAAGAACCGTTTCGTTATTTTTGTTTCATAGTAAGTGGTATCGCTGGCATAAAAAAAGACTTTAGCACGCATTCCGAAACTCACTGGAATGGATATGCTCCAGTGAGCTCAGCTACCGTTCTATCGTCCGGCCACTACGGGTCACTCTGACTGTTGGATTATCGTTTCACGTGTTGATGAGCACTCGCTTTCGAGGAGTCAAATCCATTTCATCTTTGTTTTCGTGAGGGTTGATGAATTTTATCATTTCACGCGATTTGAATGGCATGTCTCAGCTAAGAATCTTTGAGTGACTGAATAAAAATAATACTAATGTCCTATACTATCCATTTCAGAAGTAGACAACTGGAGTTCGACACGCATAACTTGAGTAAAAAAATTCGCAGAAATATGGGACAAATTTCGTCGGTGACTTAGTTATTTATCACATTGCATACCGAGGATTATCTTTGTAATGTCATCATTGTTAATGTTATCGTCATGTGAAGGTGGAAAAACGATTGTAGGGTACACTGAGAGAAAAACAGCAGAGTTCTCAAACAAGTCTTACTTGTGCAAAAAAAATGGTTTGTTAGAAACTACCAAAAAAGGATTTTGTTGCGCCAAACATGCGAAGCGTACACCGACATTGAAAATTTTTATTGCAAGAATAGATTTAGTCCTTTCAAACAAATTCTTTTCAAAAAAACTCTCTAATCACTCTAGCTTGTGCAAAAATCAAGATATCAAGTTGTTTTTTTTTCGAAATTTTCTTATAAAGGACCCATGGAATTTCAAGAATTTTTTCATGATTGTACACTTCAATGAGCTCTATTTATTGACACCAATTACAATTCAATTTTTCACAAGGATTTTAAAAAATTGATATTTTTCCAAAAATCAATTTTTCAACAGTCACTCAAAAAATTCTTATCAAAACAGAATTTTGGTCATGGCTTGAGAGGAGACTACTATGAGTTTTTAAAGTCGTGGGCGATGCATTGGAGATCAATTACATATGTCTAAAAACGAATAATTAATGCAAAAAAAATGAATTGTTTATTGTTGGTTCGCCCCGCAGGCGCTTAAAATGGTAAAAATAGCTCAGGGCTACCAATTTTTGAGCTCCAGAGTTTTTTTTTCAAGATTTTTGCACAGCTAACTTCGTTTTGTTTAATATAAAAATTTGCACCATTCATGTAAAATAAACAGAAAAAATATCCTCAAAATATTTAAAATATATTCTCGATTCTTACAGAAACACTTTACGGTCTATTTTACATGAATCGCGCAATTTTTTATTGAAAACATAACAAAATTAGCTGTGTAAGAGTTGAATTTCCGAAAAACTAATTCGTAATTGTGATTGCACACATTTTTTCAACAATTTTGAAAAAAAATAGCCCTGGACTATTTTCAACATTTTAAACGTTTGCGGGGCAAACCAACAATAAACAATTCATCTTTTTGCTCTAATTATTCGTTTTTAGACATATATAATCGATCTTCAATGCATAAGAAATCTCAGTCCAATAGCCCGCGATTTTTAAAACTCATAGGAGTCTCCCCTTAAAATCATTTAAAATCTTCGACATCGACGACTTTTTTTACTTTTAACGAAAATCGAACGTGACACATTAACACAAGTATTGAAAGAATATCGTCTCAAATTCGCAGCTGTTGTAAGCACGCAGCATTGTGTTCAAAACATTGAAATTTCTGTTGAAATCGTTTTGTCATTGCGACCGCCACCGTCAACACTCGTCGTCATCACTTCTCGGATTCCCT